GTGGCACTTGGGGACAGGGATCAGTGGTGGCCTTGGCAGTGCTGGGAATGGTTCAATTCAATCTCAGAGGGCTTTTCCAACATTAAAAATTCCATGTTTCTATTCTGTGGTTATGAGGGACAAAGTAAAGGAGTGCTGAGAACATGGAATGAAGGGAGTTGTGGACGCTGAACTGTTCAGCTTCTTCATTTTGTTAGGAATAACGTAAAGATATTCCCAAGCTTTCCTTTCCCTCAAAAAAAAAAAAAAAACCAAAAAAAGGAAGGAACTCAGACTGTATTTTCAGCACATATTTAGCAATGCCATTTGCGCTGCAGTAAAAAAAAAAAATTATTTAATAAGCAACAGGAGCAAATAACATATCTGCAGCATAACTCCAGGTTTGAATTATTGCAACAGGCCATTCCCACTTATTGAAAGCACTGGGAAAATACTTAAGAGCCGGGAGAAACAATTTACAGCCCATAAAATCATCTGCCTGAGTCCTGCACGGAAGAAATACTGCTCCTGGTGAAGTTTTTCTGAGGAAAAAGACCATTTACTGGCATCAAAATGCACCATTTGATCTTGAGATCTTTAACAGAGGCACGGGAGGTTTGATGGGACCTTAAACACCACCTAATTCCAAACCCCTGCCACGGGCAGGGACACCTTCCACTAGCCCAGAGTGCTCCAACCTGGCCTTGGACACTTCCAGGGATCCAGGGGCAGCCACAGCTTCTCTGGGAAGAAGGAGGGAATTTATGGTCTTCCAAATATGTGTTTAGAAGCCCACACATATTTTTCACACCTTCTGTACGTAAAGGTGAGAAACACCAACTGTAGAGGGGTGTGGGGGCAGACAGAGATTTTTTTTGGAAGACAGGGAGGCACAAATAGGAATGAAAAAGTTGACTGGGAACTGTCCAAACAGCTCCAGCCGTGCTGCAACTCAACTGCACAACGTGCAAGTGAAAGGAAGAGCAGAGAGGAGGAAACAAAGGCCAGTTTGCTTGCAATTCATTAGCTCTGCAAAGGTTACCCATGGCTGGAACATCATTTCTCCTCCGGCCCCAATTAGAATGGAATATTAACGGCCCTGGAATGTCCTGCCCAACCTTTATCCACTGACATTTGCTTCGCTGCAAATGAAATGGCAATGTGGGACAAAATAAAGGGAACCAGAGCCTGGCTTGGTGCTGAATTCCAGCTCCAGAAGGAGCTCCAAGAGCCCAGCAGCAGCTCTAACGTGAGGCACAACCCTGTGCCCACAGCAGGCAGCTCCTAAATGAAACAGAAATCAAATCCTACATCCAGGTGCTGTTGGAATGCAGGGCCAGGTTCCTGCTTTTCCACACTGTGCCAGTGCCTGGGATATTCCAGGAGCCCAGCAGTGCTGGAGTTTGGCAGTTCTTTCCCGCTGGAAGGGCTGGCTTGACGTAAATCATCCCAAATGTCAGCAATAAAACCGAAAATCCCAACCTTCCCTTTCCCTCTCGGGTTCTCCAGGCAGCTCAGCAGCACAGCAGGGTCAGGATGGGGTTACAACCAGCTGGAGAAGATGGAAATGTGCCACAGCATCCCCAGCTCAGAAAGATTTCACTCATTCACAGAATCACAGGATGGTTTGGCTTGGAAGGGATATCAAAGTGGGCACCTTCCACTGACCCAGGTTGCTCCAAGCCCCATCCAACCTGGCCTTGGACACTTCCAGGGATCCAGGGGCAGCCACAGCTTCTCTGCCCAACCACCTGGGCCAGGGCCTTTCCACCCTCCCAGCCAGCAATTCCTTCCATATATCCAAGCTACATTTCCCCACTTGCAGTTTGAAACCACTCCCCCTTGTCCTGAGGAACAATCCCTCTCCAGCTTCCTTGGAGCTTCCTTGGAGCCCCTTCAGACACTGCAAAGTGCTGTGAGGTCTCCACAGAACCTTCTCCTCTCCAGGCTGAACATTCCCAACTCTCCCAGCCTGGCTCCAGCCCCCTCATCAGTTTTGTGGCCTCCTCTGGACATGCTCCAACATTTCCATGTCCTTCTGATGTTGGGGCCACCAGAAACCATCCCATGAACCACCGAATCCCAGAATGGTTTGGGTTGGAAGGGACCTTCAAGACCATCCCATTCCACCCCCTGCCACGGGCAGGGACACCTTCCACCAGCCCAGGCTGCTCCAACCTGGCCTTGGACACTTCCAGGGATCCAGGGGCAGCCACAGCTTCTCTGGGCAACTCCTGCATTCCCTGGAGAACAGCAAAAGGAAGCCACACCCAACAGAAATTCCCTCTAAACACCCATTTTCCAGAACAACATCTCCTTCTGTGTCCATTACAAGCACTTGATACACATCCAGGTTTTTGAGCTTCTGCTGGTGTTACCAACTGTTTTTCTTGCCTCTACTTCGTGAGCAAATTGTCAGCCAAGCCTCTCTCACTGACAGCACGGGGGGCTCTCAGATATTACTTCTTTCTGCTGTGCCTTGGATCCCACTGTAATTATGAAATGTGCCCCAGAGCATTTAAAAATGCCAACGTTTCAATAGTTTCCCCTCCACCCAGCGAGCTGAATCCCACTGTTCTAACCACTGGTTAATTAGGGAGTTCCAGGGACTGTAAAATAAAAGCACTGGGAGAGCAGCTTAGGAGCAGTTAAAGAATGGAAGAATTTTTAATGCATTATAAAAGCTTAATTGGAAAACACCAATAAATTGCCTTCTCCCAAATCCACACGGCCTTAATCCCCTGCCTTGTTAGGATGGTAAATAATATCGCAGCATTAGTTCCCAGGGAGATCCAGGGATGGAGGGGAGGAAAACTCTTCCACCTGCCCAAATTCTGGACATGGATATTCAATATATACTCAGCTCTACGTGCTCATTGAGATGCATGATGTCCTTATCCCCTGATTCAAAGTGGGGGTTGGAATCATGGAATGCTTTGGGTTGGAAGGGACCTTGAAGCCCATTCCCATTCCACTAGCCCAGGTTGCTCCAACCTGGCTCTGAACACTTCCAAAATGGAGCAAGCTGGGCTAGTGGAAGGTGTCCCTGCCCGTGGCAGGGGGTGGAATGAGATGGTATGGAAGGACTCTTCCAGCCCAAACCATTCCATGATTTTGTGAATCCCAAGAAAAACGCCCTCAAACATTTCTCCAGTCCATCATTCAAGTGGGGGAGAAGTGAAAATCCATCTAATCCGAGCGTGACCTGCTCCCAGAGAGAAACACTGTTCACAGGTGGTGTGGGCAGTGCTGAAAGAAAGGGAAAGCTGAAGGGATCGAATCCCCAATCCTGGATGAAGCACGTTCCTGGGAGGAGCAGGGAGCTGGGCTCGGTGATCCTTATGGATCCCTTGAAACTCCAGGCATTCTGGGGTTCTTTAACAAAAAGAGCAACTAAATGTGCTTTTTAGTTAATGGGGGGACGTTGTTTTGGTTTTTTTTTTAACTGCAAAATCCAGCCCCTCTGAAAAAGAGAAATAAACCAGCAATAAAATGCTTGTCTGGACTGGAACCAACTGCTTCCTTATTTTCCTTAAAATCACTAATCCTGATTATTGATTGCGGTTGATTACAACCTCCTTACAACCAACTGTCCTGCCAGCAAGATTATTTTAGGGAAGATGACTGTGCTGGATTCAGCAAAACCAACACCAAGTGTGAGCCAGGAGCGACCCCACCCCCTGCTCACAAACTGCAGGAAGGTGGTGGCTCCAACCTGCCGCTCCCAGGCCTTGAAAAGGGGACCTGCCGTGCTTTGGGAGGCCTTGGTAAAGGCTGGGAGGTTTTTTTTGGATGGAAAACAAATATTGAAATGGCTCCTGTCGGTTCCAGCACCGAGGGAACCCTCAGGTCACTTCACACCAAGGCAGGAACTTCAAGCAGTGCCTGGAGGACGGGAGGATTTGGCTCCTGTGGGGCTGGAACACGTTTGTTGGTGTTTAACTCGTCGTGTTCTCAGGGTTCAGCTCAGAAATCAACAGGTGGCACCGAAAAGAGGTGGAATTTACACCAGGAGAACTCCCTGGAAAAACCCACCTCCTTAATTCCTGCTGGGTGCGTGACAGGGTGGGAATATCTGCAGCACGCCACACGTTGCCTGGTCGATGGGGGAAGTCACAAACCATTTGGAAAGGAACTTCTGCCTTTCCAGAAGCCTCTCCCAGCCCCAAAATCCCCTTTCCCTGCACGCCCAGGACAAGAGGCATTTCCAAAGATCCTTATCCTATCTTTTAATTAAATCATTTAAATACAAAGTAGATATTCCCACTTTTTAGGCTGTGCTGTAGCAGGATGCTTAAGTTAAAAACCAACCCAAACACTGCACATCAAACCCCCCAAGAAAGATTTAAGTGCCTTAAATGAAAAGTACCTGAAAAACGTCACAAAGAACTGCACCAGGTCCATAAAGTTGCTGTGCTGTGAGAATGCAATCTGCAAGACAAAAGCAAATGTTCTCTGTTACTCCAC